ATTATCAGACAGAAAGAAAATTTTGTATAACATACACGTAATGTATTCATAAAACTTTCGCACGAGGATAACGATCGAAGTTCTTCTATAGTCCCCATTCGCATTCGTACAGGCAGTTCGTATATTTTCCCTCTGTGTTCGCGAATTTATCGAAATTATACTCTACTAATTATATACTTATTTCCGTTCGTAATATCGCTCTGTCGAATTCACCACGAGAGCAAAGCGTGTTTCTCTGCCGAGCTGTGAACGTGTTGAGACGATGCCACCGTGCGCGAATCGCTGAAAGAGGAAAATGTCATCGGGTGGAAAAGGATCATCACAGCCGGTGGAAAATACACAGAGTGAATTTCTCGTAGCGTGCATGGGCGGATTCTCACTGGGCGCCGGCATCGGTTGGAGCGCGCCGTGCGTCGAACTCCTGAAAGATCAGTACGGTTTCGACGTGTTCTCGACGAACGTGGTCGCGTCGGTTTTTCCGCTGGGCGCGGCAGTTGGGATGTTGGTGGTGCCGTTCCTGATCGACAAGATCGGCCGAAAGTGGACGATGATGTCGCTGGTGCCGGCGTTCGTTCTCGGTTGGGTGTTCATCACGTTCGGTGTGACCACTACGCTTCTCCTAACTGTGGGCAGACTGATAACTGGAGCCTGTGGTGGGATGTTCTGCGTCGTTGCGCCGATGTACTCCGCCGAGATCTCCGAAAAAGAGATTAGAGGTACGAGATGAGAGATAGAGGAAGGAACAAGGAACAAGAAGAGCGAGAAAATGTCCCAACGTGGCTATCATAGATGAATTCTACGCCTTCGATTTGATGGAAATAGATGCAAAGAATCTGCTGTAAAATTGACCTTGAATTTCGAAATCTTTCTTTTTTTTTATTTATCTCTACTCATCACGAAGGTAAAACTTTTCCAAGCAACCTAATAGTCCTCTTGAAAAATGGCAAAGAAGCTTCCTAATCATTTAACGCTGCGTCCTAACAGCGACTTTATGGTTCTAGATGCGTGTATGTTTTTTATTGTGTTCTACTCATTACGAAGGTAAAACTTTTCCAAGCAACCTAATAGTCCTCTTGAAAAATGGCAAAGAAGCTTCCTAATCATTTAACGCTGCGTCCTAACAGCGACTTTATGGTTCTAGACGCGTGTATGTTTTTTATTGTGTTCTACTCATTACGAAGGTAAAACTTTTCCAAGCAACCTAATAGTCCTCTTGAAAAATGGCAAAGAAGCTTCCTAATCGTTTAACGCTGCGTTCTAACAGCGACTTTATGATTCTAGACGCGTGGATGTAATATTTATATTTCGAATAATGTTAAATGATAAAAGTCAGTTTTCAGACTCGCACTGATGCTACAACTATGGTGAATCAAATGTTAGTGAAGACTAATACGAAAATAGACGTCCAGAACCATAAAGTCGCTGTTAGCACTCGCGCGTTAGGTGATTGAAGAAACTTTCCTGCCATTTTTTAGAACTGTTAGGTTGCTTGGAAAAGAGTCACTTTCGTGACGAGTAGAACACAATTTCAATGAAACTCGAGGTCAATTTCGAGACAGGTTCTTTAGAGTTTGTATTTCCACCAAATCGAAGGTGGTAGAATTCATCTATGATGATAGCCACGGACAAACTTTTCTCTCCATCTTGTACCATTCCCTAGACCATTGGCCTAAATACAGTATGATAAAAGCTCTCCTCCACGATTAGGTACCTTGGGAGTGTTCTTTCAATTATTGCTCGTGATCGGGATTCTATACGCTTACTGTTGCGGCTACGCTAGGAACGTCGTCGTGATATCGATCCTTTGCGGTATCGCTCCTCTCGTGTTCGCCAGCATCATGACCTTCATGCCGGAGAGCCCGCTGTTTTACATGACGAAGAATAACGAAGCAGCCGCCAGGAAATCGATGCGATTCTTCCGTGGACCGGATTACAATATCGACCCCGAGATCAACGAGTTCAAAGTTAGTGTCAAAAACATTTCTGCTACGATTGAAACGTCCGCGAGAATTATACTCTTTTATATTTGAGAGTATTTGCCTCAGCAAACCGGTCGTTGCTAATCTATCAAATTTCTATGGAAAATTACGAGTTGGTTTTGTTGCAATAATCTACTACCACGTACACAACGATATTTATATATCGTGTATTTATTTATATTTAGTTTTTTACTCTTTTCTTTCTTTTTCTTTTTTTTTTTTCTCTCAATCGAATTTTGTCGCAGTTCTAATTATTGTTATCTGTCAAGCTTCCGTCGATTTATATGTTTGAACGAGAGAATATCGTAGAATCCGTTTTCTCTCGCCGACGATAAACGGAGAATAAATGGAAGAGGCACGGCCGTGCGTGAAAAAGAATCTGGCTGGCGAGAAATAGTTCTCGCCGCTGCTACTACACTTTGAGCAAGCATTTGGCATTTGAAAATAGGAGCAAGTAGAGAAAAGTAAACGCGAGAGGGTGACGCTCTCGGCGTTCCTGAGGAAGCCAGTGTTGAAGACCCTGGGTGTGGCGTACGGGATCATGCTAGCGCAGCAACTTAGCGGCATCAACGCGATTATTTTCTACTGCGAGACGATCTTCAAGCAGACCGGCGTCGATCTGGATCCCCTGCTGCAGATGGTGGTCGTCGCGGTGGTCCAAGTGATCGCTTGCTGCATAGCAGCCTCGTTGATCGATCAGGTTGTCTGTCGCTCGTGTCTCTTTCGTCGTCGCGCGACGAGTGAACGCTGGCCTGTTCGACTGATTGATTTCGAAGCCACTCGAAATCGAATTATTCACGACTTGTTTAACCCGTTCAGTCGTCGTAGATTCTGAATAATTTGTTGTTCTGAATCTTTTATATTTAACCGAAGTTGATCGTGTACAATGATCTTTCATTTCAGAGATTCCTTGTTTCTCTTTTTTATTTAAATTAAAACTGATTTGTCTTTAAATTTTAAAAGGTATCCCAGTCGAAGGACAATCTAATTTTATTTTAATTCGTTGCTCAGAAACTTCCATTACTTAACAGAGATTTGCAAGTAATAATTTCTATTCTTTTTCTCCTTAATCAAAATTGATTTGTTCTTAAGTGTCGAGAACAATTCGGTTAGTAAGACACATTTTGTTTTTTTTTTTAATCTTTTCGAAGCTTTCGTAACTGTTGATGACCAAAATATAGCTTGCTTATCTTTTTTCAAGCTTCTTCGAAAACAACATTTGTTACGTAGTTGACAACGTCGAGATATATGTTATCTTAATGTTTCTCGCGAACGTGGCCAGGGAAATTAACGACGTGCAGCAGCGTTCAGTCTTCGAATGTGTACGAATCGCGAGGAACGAAACAGCAAAAAATTGCTTTTGGAAAAATGAATGAAATTTTTGTAGCTGGGGCGAAAGGTCCTCATGATGATATCCTTCGGCGTGATGTGCATCTGTCTGATTGCTCTGAGCATCTTCTTTGTACTGAGGGACAAGCATCCCGATGTTGCTGACTGTCTATTTTGGTTACCGCTCATTTCTGCTTCCCTCTACATCCTGGCTTTCTGCCTGGGTGCCGGTCAGTAACAAAGTAGCACAAATTTCCTCGAGCACGCATCATCGCCACGCTTTTATCACAGAACTCGCGATTACAACCCGTTCGCAACTATTTCAGAACATCGAGAAGATTCGGTGCTTAGTACCTTAGTAGGAGGTTGTTCGAGATAATTTTCAACCATCGGAAAGTTATTTCAAATTGTGATACTTCCTCTATCGAGCTATTTTTGCGTACAAATAATAAATTAATTAATAAGCGCCGTGTCGTCAAATTAAATTGCAGACGGTTTCGAATGGGTTAGCAACAATTGCACGAGCAACCAAACAGCTTGAGTTGAAAAGTTTGAAACGTCAACACTTTGAATTGGCACGAACTTCTCGGAACTCAAAATTTATTTGCTACACGAAACTCTCGAAACTCTTGTTCAACTGAACTGCGGGAAATATTATTATCTTACTAGTCGTGGCAGCACGACTATAACTTGGTAAAGTTATTCTTGTTTTACCAATAATAATTCAATTATTATAATAATAACAGTTTGATAATCTAGTTTTTGTCTGGACCTTGGATAATATTAAAATTCTTCATTTTGGCGATGCAGGTATTTCTAGAGTAATTATTTTACAGTTTCGAGAGTCTGAAAGATCAAATTTCGCTTCGTCTCTGTTTAAGAGGGTATTCTATTGTGACGAGTACTTTTTTTTTTTATATTTCTTCGCAAAATTGGGCAAATGATCGTGAATGTTTATTTCTATTACGTTGATGGTTGCCATAATTTCAATCGTACCAGAAATAAAAAAAAATCCAGTCAATTCTCAATTAGTATAAATGTAACCGCAATGGGGAAAAGATAGCAATATTTTGAAGATAGTTTCTCCGATTTTTTTTTTTTTGTGAAAATTAGAAACAAAGTCATAAATATATGTTCTGAAGACGTATGCACAATCGGAGCTCGATATCGTTCTTAAAATATACAGTTTCATTTGCATTTTGCAGAAAAATAATTTTATTTACCAGTTGTTCTTTTGGCATATGCAAAAAACGAAAAAAATAAATTTTTTTTTTATCTCGTTACACTAGAATACCATCTTGAAAACCAAATGGTCTAACATGAATTTCAACATGCACGAATATAAAAATCACATCTAGCTTTCGCGATGTCTTCATTAACACTAGGTTTACGAGCATTTCTTGTCTCTATTTTCTACGATCAAATTGACGCAAAAAATCATTATAGGAACAAATTACGCTCGACTTATAAATTTAGTATAGTTATGAATTGTTTATTTTATACGCAGTTTACGAAGTAGAATAAACACTGAGAACCATATGGGGTCCATTTTAGAGTGCTTCGTCGCGGCATATTCGAGATAAATCAAATTTGTTTCTAAAAAACAAGTAAAAATATCTCCGTCGCGTTATGATTTCTACCTTTGTATTACTTCGCTATATTTATTACTATAGTAATAATTTCACGAATGGAAACAAATTTATTTATGAGATTAGTTCGACCCGTGAATTATTTGAGAAAATAACGACCTTGACGAGAGTCAAGAAGCGAAACAGAAGGTTGTAAAAAGTTTTAATTTAATTTTTCTGAATTTTCCTCGTGAAGCCGCGAAATCGCGCGCCGTAAACCTAGCGTTGATCAGACTCCATCTCCGACCAAGTGCCAGCGATCTGTACGTTTGATTTTCCCGGGGTCCACAACAGGTCCGATACCGTGGGCATATATGGGCGAGATCTTCCCAACGAAACTGAAGGGAACAGCGTCGTCCTCCGCGGCGTCTTTCTGCTGGCTGTTGGCGTTCATGGTGACCGTGTCGTTCTCCACGGTGGCCGAGGCGCTCGGCAACGCAGCCGTGTTCTTTTCCTTCGCGATATTCTGCGCGCTGAGCATGCTGTTCGTGGTGTTCTGCATGGTGGAGACCAAGGGCAAGACGTTCGCCGAGATCCTGAGGGAGTTTGGCACCTACGACATCGACTAACGAGATCGAAACATCGGTATTTCCATCGGCGATTCGATTCGCGATATAAAATACCGATAGACACCGAGAGATTTTTAGATACCTATCGCTGGGGACGGCGGTAGAAAACACTTGCCATCGTACGATGGCGACGAAATATTTAAACCCTTAGCGAATCGAATGTGATGCGGAACGTTTATAGACGCTTTGTAAGCAAATTCTACTGGAAAAATAAATGTTGTTTGATTTGAACGAGTGGTATTTCTATATGGAGTATACCAAGTATAGCAATTTATTTAATTCCCAGTGAAGAATTTGTAAATATTTGAATATTTTATAAAAAGAAATCCAGCAGTCTAGAAGTCTTCGTAGTAGTAGGCTATAGCTCGTAACATTTGAATATGTTATCTAGTGTTGTGATAGTAGTTTGAGAAAATTAATTTTGACAAGACAGGTGTCAGCAATTTCACGTTGCATTCCACATCATCATCTGTCATTTTCGCTGCGAAATTCTCGCTTTTGTTTCAATAAAACGATCAATAAAATCGTATTCGAAGGGCATTAATACTTGAACTACCGACGATTAAAGTATAAAATTTCCATCAGAAATATTGATGTCCAAAAAATAGATAATACAACGGAGAGTATACAAGCTTTTATTTATTTCACAATTATTCAAGTCCTTAAAAACACACTGTTTTACGCCTATAAAAAAATGTCCAACGAAAATTATAAGTTGGTCATTTCGACCACTTTGGCGATACTAGTGTTAAAATATTAAAGCAATATTTTAATATTAAATACAATATTTAATATTTGGACATTTTTTTT